AGCTGGTCAATTAATATTGATATATTAATATTGTTAATAATATTGATATTATTAATATTGATAATAATATTGACATTGACTGGTATTATGGCATGAGGGAAGGCGAGCCCGTGCAGATAGATCAGGAAATGATCGACCGTCCAAGAGGCGCAGTTTTAGCGGGAATGATTGGGATGAAAAGAGGACGAGGAGCGTTTCAAATGTCTTTTTGTGTGCAGAACCCAGAAGGAGCCCGAGCTGCGCCTCTCCCCACCCGGCTTCAACTGCCCGAATAAGACGTCTTTGACCCGGCCCAAGGACTTCATCGCCTGGACTCCGAGTATTCTGGTGATCCCGATTTCCATTCATTGTCTTTTATTGTTTCATTTGATTATTATTTTTCCGTTTAAAGTTGTCGTTGTTCGCGTTTCGGATAAACTTATTGTTATCCTCGTGCAACTGTGCTATCCGTTGAATCGTTCTCACTTCGGAAAAACGGGATTCGGTGCTACAGCATACACTGATCGGTAACAATGAATATCATAGTTTCAAAAATTCATCATAATTCCTTTAATCACTTGAAATTTGACAGCTCTATGTCAAAAAAGAGGCAAGCTTTCATTACCTGATCAACAACGCTACGCATTGAAATTGATTGGTACCAACTGATATTATCACGGTACGATACCATTAAATCGAAATAATCCATCATACTACTATTCTCCTTTGATGTTTACGCGTTCTGCATCTACATATCTAAAGGTAGAGGAGCAAGGAGCTTGCAGCAAAAGACAGTAAGGGAAACAAGGCATTCATACGCTTAGCCCTCGGTGTATTTTCTTCGGGATCTGCTTCCACATAAAACTTTCAATCAGAATACTAGTGGCGCTTAAAGTGCGCATGTGGCCTATATGATAAATCTCTGCGGCCAGCCAATGTATAACTCAGTTGTTCCCCTCCCGTGAAAACAGAACGCTTGGTGAAGTGTGTGCCGACCTGGATTTCATATCCGGACTGAGTGCCTAGTATGTATTGCGCACTGCTTGCAAGTAGATACCTCTGCCCAAAGCAGGGACACAAGCATTTGTTGTAATAGTGTGATACAATAAAGTAAATAAAAGCATTGGCGTAGAGCTATTATGTGATGGTTCATAGTTTCACCGAAGTAGATTCGAGAATCGGAATCATGAAAAAGGAACATAGCGCATTGAGTATTCGAAGGAACCGAAGTGTAGTGAAAAGAACCAGTTTAATGACAATCCTCCCTTTTTGCAACGAGAAGGATTTCAAAGTCGCGTGACTGCGTCGTACAGTAAGGGACTGGTAGGTTACTGTACCCCACGTTAGAAGAGTTTTCCTCATCGATGGGACCATTGCCTGGCAGTGAGATCGAAATTGTCGCTTCGCGGCGAGAGAGACGCCGTGGGAATGTAGCAAAGTGCAGCAGCAAGAAGGGAATACATAAACAAAAGAACTAACACTATAATCATGCCAAAAACAATAATCGCCTATCCATTGAGCTATGTGAACAACCCTAGAACCGTAACAACCAAGCGAACGGTTCGCGCGCGGTAAATTGATCACAGAGAACCTACTGCCCGTCTCCCTTGCTCGCTGCTCAGATCGCTGTATTTATCAGGGAACGATCACGAGCCGAATGACCGTTCGACTTGGAGCCTTCGAGACTTGTTTCAGATGCTGATCTCAAACCTGCTTTCCAAACCTGCAGAACTTTGCTCTAAACAAAGTTACAAGGATAGTTTCAGCTGAGACTTGACCTAATCCACCGCAAATAACATGGACGTGCCAGATTCTGCAGCGATGACCTAGAACAGTGATAGTTGTGACGCTTCATGGGCGAGATACTATGGTACAGGTTTTGAAATGGCGATAGTTCTGCATTGCATAGGAATTTCTCCCTGGAACCAGAAATTCCTTTTATATTGGGTTTTATCGCTTTCTACAACCTTACGACGCCTCCAGTTATATCTTCCCATCTGAAACCATGGAAATCGCTACTTATTTATTTATTCATGCGTTCTATGACGCGCTGTATCGAGACATACGGCTGCTTGCGGAAACGATTATACAGACTTAGAGAAAAAGTAAATAATAAACAAAGCAAACAAGATGTAATGAACATAAAGTTGGAACAACTCTTCTCATAAAGCTCAGGATTAGTTAACAAATAATAGAAGTTGATGCGTAACAACAGAGGCCTAGACTAGAGAGTCGCTCGGCGAGCAGTCTTCCTTAGAGCAGAGGCAAAAATGTAGGAATGACACGGTGAGGTCAGAACTCGACCCCAGCGATAGATTTAGGATTCTAGGCTAGGAGGGCACTGGCCTTGAGATCTGTGGGACAAACGCTGCAGAGTAAGCCAGCACCAGCCGACCATGGTGTCCTTCACCACTTGGTATCATGGGAATTTACCGGCACTTCGAGACACGGGTATGCCGGCCACCCACGTGGAACCGGCAAACATGGCCAAATCTGCCGCACATCACCCCATGTCAATCAGACCAGAGGCCTCCTTGCCGCATGATGTATAGGAGTTTCGGTGGTCGTTGTGAAATGAGTCCAATGAGTATCATCCCGACGAAGAAGGAACTAGTAGGGAAGCTACGCTACCTGAGCAACTGAGAGGAGAAAAAGTATAGGGCGACCAACAAATTGACTATGTGCAATGCTGCCTTGAACTGAGAGGAGTTTTGACACGCTAAGACAGATGAAGGCAGTCGCGACAGCTATCGAGTAGTACGTAAAATGAAGCTGTTGTAGCGGAGGTCTTGTGGAATTTGCCCATTTCGTGGCCGAAAAATTGGAAGCCGTCTCGCCGTCCGTTCGAGGGTCGAAACACCCAAAGCATCGATAGCCGAAGTCGCAGTTCTCCCTTAAGTATCTTGAATGCAAGAACCAAGTCAGTTATAATCCTTCTGTGGAAAAGACTCTTCAAATCTAACTTCCGGAGACGAGTTCCATAGGGTGGCAGCGTGCCAGGATAACTCGTACTGGAGAATGCAAGATACGAGTAAAAGTTTTTTGCACTTTTCAAGCTTTTGGATGTCTCTGACCAGGTGTGGGCTCCAAATTGGGCTGCAGTATTCAACAATGGGAAGATCATATGATTTGAAGAGTATGATCCACATGTCAACATCGGCACATTTAATGTTTTTGAGTAAGAGGTAGACCAACTTCAGCGCTTTAATAATAGCCTCGTCCACGTGAGCACTCCAGCTCAAGTTTTTCTATGATACTCAAGTCTTTGATTTGGTCCCTATGCAGTACGTTCTGCTTGCACTGACTTTCAATCTCCATGAAGTTGCCCACCTGAGCATTTTTTCAACGGTCTTAGTTAACGCCACCTAAGCTTCATGCCTTCCTTCCAGCGCACAGATCACTGCTACTTTTATGTCATCGGCAAACCGGCGACAGTAATCCTGTTGTGGGTTTTGAGATGTTCAAGTAAATCGCAAGTGTAAATGAGGAAAAGCAGCGGCGGCAACACCCCTCCCTGTGGGACTCCCAATGGACACTCTCTCAACGCCAAAAAGCTGTCTCCAAAATCGACGCTGAATTTTCACCCTTCCAGATATGATCTAAATAAATCCAAGGTACCATCTCTGATCCCAATACTCTCAAGCCTGGCCAACAGCCTAGAACGACATACTCTACCGAAGGCCTTGCTCAGACCGAAGTAAACTATATCGACATTTTTTCCACTGTTAAGGGCTTCAGTCCAATAGTGAGTACAACTTAGTAATTGCGTACACGCGGGGCATGCCCCTGGGAAAAAGCCATGCTGCTCAGGAGCGGTGAGATTGAGCCTTGTGATCCATAGAAGTATTTCCTTGATGATTTTCTCAAAAATTTTCAGGCGTAGGCAAGATGCTCATGGGTCTGAGGTTTGACGCGAGAAAGCTAGTGGCACTCTTGGAACTAGGAAAGACGAAAGAATTTGTCTATATCGCGGGGATTTGACCTACCAGAGACCTACCAGAAGACTAATGTTGACGATGTGGGCGAAAGGGGCTGCAAGTAATTTGGGTAATATTCGGAAAAAATTTGTGGTATCCCATCAGCTGTGAGTGAGAGTGATAGCTCCAGAGTTCTCAGGTATCTCAGCACCGTGTCTGGGACGATATAGGGCAGCACAAAGCGCTCGGAAGACAATGAAGGCAAGGTCATGGCGCATTCTGCGGGTTTACCATAAACGGTGGCGAAATAGGAAGCGATAGCCTCAGCTTTAGCAACATCAGTTGAATACTTTTTGTCTTCGGAGTCTTCCAAAATTTTATGTGTATTAGAACTCGCTTTGGCCTTTGTGATATAGCCGAAAATCCTTTTCATAAGATTTTCCGTCGCAAGCTTCTTTGTTTTGAGTGCTAAGTACCGCCTGACGTGGAAGTCTAGGTTCTTTGGAATCTCAGCAGATTGCGCACTTTGTGACGGTTGCGATAAGTGGTGAAAAAGTCGATCCCGCTGCTCAAAGAGATTCATGATATGCTCAGGATATCTGTTAGACGCATACTTCTCGAATGAGCAGCGAGGAACATAGCGATCAATTATATCTCGTATTACGGCGGCAAATCGATCGTATGCATCATTGTCATCAATACAGTTATTCAAAATTAGCATCCAGTCAAGACTGGCTAGTTCATGCTTAATTTGTGCCTTGTTAGCGCCTTTGTAATCTCTGTAAAGAATATTCTCACATTTCAGCCGGAGGGAGTGTACTTTAAAAGAAACGATGTTGTGGTCCGATGTTGATAGGGAGGGGGCGTGTGAGGAAACATCAGAGATACACTGCGCACCTGACAAGACAAGATCGAGAGTCCTGTCGTCTCTGATCGGGAAGGTGACATACTGTTGAAGGGAGAAGGTTCTCGAAATAGGTGAGGGTGGCTTTTGTGCCACTGGGTTGGCAGCAGTACGGGTGCGCCAATCAATATCAAGATTAAAATCCCCGACGACGACTGTGTTGTAGGGTATCGATGCAACTAAGTCAGGCATAATTCCAATCAATTGATCATTTTGAATAGAGGTACATAGATCTGGGGGGACGAAAACAAGGAGAAATCTTCGCTCACGAAAACCAGGTAAACATACGCTAGAGCATAGGACATCCGAAATGAGAGAGCTGCAATCAAACACGATTTTCTTAAATAGAAGAAAGTTGTGAAGAAAAACACATACACCTACTCTTGCTCTGGCATGTCTATCTTTTTTGATGAGGGTGTATGGAAACACAGAACAAAGTTCTGAATAAGTGACCTTGCCACTGAGCCAGGACCAAGTTACAAAAATTTTCTGGGTTTAGAAGTTTTTATAAGATAGTGTAGGTGGTGGACTTTATTCACCAGGCTACGAGCTTTCATCAAAAGACAATATGACCAACGATAGGTTGGAGAAACCAGTTTTTCGAATATCGAGCGGAGGGGGTATGTGTGTTTTTACACTTGAAATGTCCGATGCCTTGATAATTTCTCCTTTGTAAACTACATAAACTTCTTTACCATTGCATTCTTTATCATTTAACTCACGAGCTTTGCGTGAATCACGTTCTTTATTGCGCTCATCAATAGTCATTGATCGGCGCACGAACACTGTCCTATAATCCGATATAGCGCGTAGTTGCGAGCCTTGGACAAAGTCTGCAACATGAATCGACGAGAAGAAAACAAACATTCAACGACACGAGGTTTTCCCTCCGCACCTCGGCCCATCCTGTAAATTTCTACAGGATTGGTCTCGATGTCAAGCGAATCATGCATGCCTGTAATGTATTCTCCGTATGTGCTTGACGCAAAGGCGGAGATAATTATTCCTTGACCTCAGGTATACCGTAAAAAACCACTGACTTCTGCCTCTTGTCGCTTTTCACTACGTCCTTAGACACAAAGGCAGCTTACTTAGGGAACGGTCGAGAAGCTGAATGACTTCAGGAGTCTTTGATGCCAGAATTCCATGAATTTCGTTCAGCAGGGTAATACAGTCGTTGACCAGAATAGAATTAGCCAGTTTGTTGACCATAGATTGCGGCTGGGAGCTTGGTCCATTGCTTTATCGGTTGGGAACTGGGGCCATTTCAGCGGATCAATTAGGTTCACCGCTCACAGTGGGAGCGGGAAGGCGAATGTACATACATATATGCACACCATGTTCACAGTAGATGGGTAGTGGCAAGAGGGCGCACTGTCACAAGCGAGTGGTTCAGAGATCGAATTCCAGACCGTTTTTCGCCCAACTCAAGGCTACTCCCAAACCTAGCAGCACAAACATGTAAGTAGACGATTTATATTGAGCGAAGAAGAGAGTCCAGTGTGCACGCAGAAGTTGAGATTATGACCTAATGTGAGGTGATGCGTTAGATCATACTCTGAACAGCTAGAAGAAATGAACATCTAGCGGCTGTAGGGGCCTCACGAAAATAGCAAAGATCTTCATCACGTGCACCCGCTTTTGTGTCACCATTACATATGCACTGGAGAGCCGTACAATTGAACCCGCTGTAAAACCACGAAGAACTTCTGACCAAGGCAGCCATTCAACGAAAAGGTAGGCATAGCAATGAGACAGTGGGTGATTGCAGAAACTAACTCCACAGCCTATCCTCTCTTATCGAGCTTCTTGACGCTAGAGTTTGCAGAGCGTGCATATCGCTGAGAGGTATCATTGTTAACATAAAGAATGGAAAAGATAAAATCCTTAGCGTTGATCATTTCTGCCTTTTCTTCGTTTTACATTAAGAGTGGGGTTTTGAATGCCATCACATCACCGCGCCCCGTTGCGAACATCAAGTGCATATACATGTAAAAAATTGAAGCGATATTTAAGTCCGAATATTTTGTCTTTCAAGCCTTCCAAGATTGCTTAACTTTATTAGGCTAACGTTTCGGCACCTTTGCCTTCGTCAGAGTCACTAAATGGTCTAAAGCACTCGTGGCCCGCTCACCTACACGCTTTAACAGAAGCTCCAAGAACGTTCAACTAAATAGCGAACTCTCAACGATATTGACCGGTATGGATCAAAAAGGCAAAATTAATTACCTTGAAATCCACCGCCAAGGCAGACCGACCACCTCGCACTAGCTTCACTCACAAATAGCGAAACACCTCCCTCTGACCTCATCGCAGTTTAAAGGTCACAGAGGTTGAGGAATGGTGCGAGTTCGCCGGTTGCGGCTACACACTCATCTTTTCTATTCATTTGGGGGTCCTTAGCTGTGATCCAAAGCGCTTCCAGTGTCTTACGCGCCGCGATCTCGGGTTCAAGCGCCAATATGGACACGGAAACGTCAAAGGATAACCCTGCGTGGTTCAAAACCCGATGAGCTCCCAAGGGGGTGTACATTTTTGATCCAGCCAGCCCATTTAGATGTTTCTTGAGCCGAACGCACAAAGGGCGACCTCTTTCTCCCATGTTCTCACATCCACAGCTTTGACAGCGTACAGAGTAGACTACTTCCACCTTCATGCAATCACCCTCTCTGCCATGAGGGCATATCACACAGTTGGGAGTGTTGCATACGGTGTCATGGAGTCGATTGCGAACGAGAAGTTTTTGAAGGGTGTTCGGAGGTATTTCTGTAACTCTTACATCATCTTGAAGACCACACCGACCACGATTGATCGAATCGATCTGCTTACTTCTTCAGAAATGAAAGTCGGACAAAAAGTCGCCCTGTCGGGTTGGGTTTATCATGGACTATTCTGAAGCGATATTGTATGGTCCAGACAGGAAAGATATCATAAAAGGTCAAAAGGTCGTCAAAATGAAATCAACATGAAAGGAATAGTGGCTCTTCAGGAATAAGTCCTATGCGACGTGGTAACCTCGCCACCACAAAATCCGTATCACAGTTTCCCGCAAATGAGGCGTCACGCTTACCACTGCTTTAGGCCACTGCTTAAGAGCGTGGTACACATATGTTATTTGTGTTGCCTTATGTTAGTCTATCCCAAAGTCATCCTCGTAACTCCGTTCGGAGGATCGTTTCATAAATTTGGAGACGAATTTAAGATCAGCATCCGAAAACACGACTAGATGTATAATTATCATTTCGAATGGCCGCTTTGAGTTGGGATCCTCCCCTGGTTAGCACACTGTGTTGCTGTTATCCTGAATCGAACAGAGCCACAGATCTAATCGAACCATGCTCAATTGATTTGCAATCACGATCTGACAGTAGCCGTCCACAGAATTGGTTTTTTGCAATACATCTCCATGAACAGTAATAATGCAATCGTTTCTATTCAGACGCAGACACCCTATCTATCCCTGTCTGGACCATCGAAAGCCGGAATCTTCCTTGAAAAAAAGACCGCTTAATGCTCACCTTCCTCCGACCTCGCGAAACGAGCGTGAGGGTTTCTACGAGGAATCAAAAATGTGTAACATTGCGTCACGGACAATATTCACACGACGTTTAGTTCTCCAACCAGCTCCGGAGGAGGCGAGCAAATCACCAAGGGATAGATAGGCCTCTCACAACACTCATGGATCATTTTGACTTACTGCTTCCGCCATGCCATATAGCCGATATGACTTCACGGGCCAAGACGCTGTAACAAACGAGGGCGCTTCACCGACACAGTCCTCCGACTTCTCAATTGCAACCCCTCGAATATTGCTGACAAGATAGTCTCCTATGCGACTGCAAACTTATCAAAAAAAGACACCATCGGTGTTCGTCTCGAGAGGGAGGTGTTATATCAAACAGAGCTAACAATCTAACACCTGCCTTCCAAGAAGATGTAGGTGCTCGTGGGGTGTGTGATCGAGTATGACTACCAATCTGCATCGCCCTCTTCGAATCGTATATAAGGCCCTGCTTGCATAATTATTCATTCTACAACTCGCTCAAATAAATCTTCTCTTGAAGGAACAGATCACGATAAAAAAAGGTTTCTACGACTCCCTCCCAGGATTACCTAGTGACCCCTAAGGTAGCGGGAAGGACGCTGTCGGGATGAAGAACTCAGTGGGTAGGGCATAATGTGAGCCACACTACCGGATTCGTCGACGTCCATGTCCATTGACCGATGAAATTTCAAAAGGGTGTCGAGGCGACTCAGGTTGCGCTATTTGCACCAGGACCTATATGTTTAGCATGCAATCAGCTGATCGACGAGTGATGAGGGGGTGTTTTTCTCATATTCTGTTACTCTCCGTTACGCTTTTTGCTGCCGCGGTCATCATCCTAGTTTTCTACATTTCGAGTATGAAAGGGTGAGTTATTTTGCTGTTGATCGTGTTTTTGTTGATCTATGCTGGTAATTTTGAATGTACTGAATGGTAGGGCTGTCGTTTACCAAATTTTCCTGAGAGAATCAGATGACGAAGCAGTCTCTGCGTGCCCTGTCTGCCAACGGAAGGAGTGCTCGTCCGCTCGCTGCCTGTTCTCAATTCTTGAGCGCTCTTCAGGAATGGACATGTGAACGGGTACACGAGCCGAGCATGGATTAGAAAGGAAAACCATCTCAACTGATATTTGGATATAGAAGAATGAGAAATGAGAGATAAGTGTGATGTGTAGTTCGCCAAGGAGTGCTAATGGCCGATCAGTTTATGCCCTGAAAGATGTGACACCTTATTTTCGTTGCAGTATCTACGAAACATCTGCACAGAATCCTGACATTGCTAGATTAACTGTGTAACAACCAGGTTTTTTCAATATTCTAAACTTATTCCCTAGGCTACCGTGCAAACAACAACCAACAGTTTGTATCGCAGTTGTAAGCAGTAACGAATGGTACTCTTCCATCTGCGTTCTATCCTTCTGAAATGAGATGCCTATCAAAGAGAGAGCAGGGATAACGACACGAACTAATATCAACCAGTAGTTCGGATCGCTCCTCAAAATGGCTAAAGATTTATTTATTTATTTATTTAGTGACATGTACAGTCAGTGTACGAACACAGCGTACTACAAAAACAAATCACATAAATAATCAAGATCCAAGAGAACCAGGTAGTAAAAGACAGCTGATCAAAGCAAAAGGTATTGAAAGAGAAATAATACCTTATGAAACTTCCACTAAGGCAGAACTAAAAATGAGCCTAACCAGTGTAGCTCTCAAGTATTTTTTCACTGCTCGTTTGAATTGCGACAAAGTTTTGGGCAGGGAGTATTTCTTAACAAATTCCCGAAACTCAGAAGATCCCCGATTAACAAAGAAATTTGCTCTGACGTTGGACCTAGACCGAAGAAAGTAAGGTTTCAAATTATTCCCACGAGTATACGTTGGTTGAAGAGTGAGAGCTCCCTTCAAATCGACAACTGATCTCCCAGAGAGTATTCTAAATAGCATAACAACATCTTGCTTCTTCCTTCTACTAAGAAGTGACTCGATTCCAAGCATCCTATTTCTTGTAGCTGCTCTAGGGATGGATTTATATCAGAAACCCAAAGCCCGAATCAAGACTTTCCTTGTGAAACTATTCTGCACAGCTTCTAATCTAGCAGTCTTTTTTAGTTCGAGTAAAGAATACTTCTGTTCCATATTCAAGAATCGGGCGCACATATATTTTATAAGCTCTTACAAGTATGCAGGGGTCCCTAGTATATAGGCTTCTCAATAGTTAAAAAAGCCTTCTCTCAGCTTTATTTGCTATCGTCATACAATGAGAATCGAACATCAGTTTATGATCAATAATGAAGCCCAGGTCTCTCATTTCCCTCACCTCATTGAGCTGATCACCATCCATAATAATTTGAACCGCGACTATTGCTACCTAAATGCAGAAGTGAAGATTCATCAAGAGCCAAGGGAAGATCCCATACATTAGACCAGCTCACTACCTCAACTATAGCCTCCTGCACTCCTCTTGCATCCTCATCAACCGAGATCGACTTATAAATTTCAATATCATCAGCGAAAACTTTGCAGTTGACGCCGGCCTGCTCCACAACCTTGGGCAAGTCATAGGAGTCCAAGGAATAAGATAAGGGAATAGCCAAGGCTAAAGGCTTCCTTGGGCTCCATAAAGAGAGACCGGTATGTAAACAGCGCACAGAACCTTCCGAGGCAATCCGCGGCGCAGAATTGCATCAGTTGGCCATGATGCCCAGCCGCTACATGCG